TAATCCCTAATCCCAGCACTTGGGACGCTGAGGCAGGAGGATCGCTGTGAGTTCAAGACCAGCCTGGGCTACATAGTGAGTTCCAGGGTAGTCTCAACTACATAGTGAGACCCTGTCTCAAAAAACAAAAATAAAAAAAAAAGAGAGAGAGAGATCACCCTACTGTCTATTTAAATTCCAAATATTTTTAAATTGGTTGATGCCTCTTTGGTAGCATGAAATCAAATAACTACACTAGGAGTAAACCATGGGAACAGACAAGTATCACAAGTTGCAATCTTTGAAAAGGTCAGATTTAAGGAGACACGATGCAGCGTAAGAGAATTAGTTACGTAAATATCTTGGAAGAATGTTCAGAAGTAATGTCCAAGCCAAAAGTCTTGAGTGTGGAACAGCCTGGTGTACTGGAAGAAAAGGGAGACTGATGCTGCTGGAGTGAGATGTACAGAAGGCGTGAAGCTGGAAGGGATAACAGGAGGCTGGGTCATGAGGTGTAACAGTCCCTAAGAGTGTGATCATTGTGTTAGGTGAGGTGTGCCACCCAAGTCAAAAGGCAGCATCCTAGCAGAAAGAGAAAGCTGTTCAACCCAACTGTATATTGAGCTCCATCCAGTTCATGCCAGGTACTACTGCAGCACAGCAGAAAAGGCACCATTCTTGCTCTTCAGACCATCACAAACCAGTGGCAAACAAAGATACTTTAGGGACAGTAAAGTGCAGCGATTAGGAGCCCAGGCCTTGGAACCAGACTGCTTTCTAGGAGGTTCTTTGGGGAAAGCAACTGTTTCACCATGATAATGTGGCCTTGTTGTGGAGCAGTAGCTCCAGAAATATTTGTAAAAAGAATGAACAGTAAAGTATAAGGTAAAGAGAAGCCCTGTGGTCATTTGACTTCTGTCGTACCCTATAGAACCTCACTTTACAAGACAGCAATTCTAAGCTCCCACACTTTGTTAGAAGCCACCCTCAAATGACCCAGAAGGGCAAAGCAGCACCTGCTTAGTGGCTTGGGAAAAGCCATAATGAAGAACTTGGCTGCCTAGGAAAATTCTCCTGTGAGAGGTTTTCCCAGTCCACCTTAGGGTGGCCAATCTGTCCTGCCTTGCCAAGCCTTTCCTTAGAATCCCACCCTTCTGCCCCAGGCCAGACCAGCCTTGGAGATGCCAGTGTTCCCTTGCACTGCATTGTTGAGGGTCAAAAAGGTAGACTGAGGAAAACCAAACTGGCTCTTCCACAGGTGCCAAGCAGAACCAATCAGAATTGGATTTCTCTAGACTTGACATCCTATGGTCTACCCACTTTCTCCCTTAAAGCCCTTGAATTTCTTTCTTGGATCATGGACATTCCCACAGCCTCTGAGAAATTTTCAAAATGGCCAAAAGCTAGAGACGACCTTACGTTAACAAACACAAACCTACAACTGACTGCTCTCAGCATTTATCCTTTGGTCTTCTTTGGCCCGCCAGTTAGACATGCCAACCTGGAGAGATGGGACAGTGGAAGCCTCTTCACCCAGTCAGCCAACTGCCACCCTCCCAGGAGCAAAGATAGCCATGGTGGCAGGCAGCCTTCCCCAGATCCCATATGGAGGGCCCCGGCTGGTGCCAAAGCTCAAAACACTTATCTGTTGTGTGGGACTCAAGCAGGAGAGGGAAAGTGAGTGACATTATCTAATTGCCAGCTAATTTACATAATTATCGAGCGGCACACTTTTCTGTGGGGTGAACATCTTCACAAATGTCTCTCCATCCGGCTGCTTAGGAGGCAGGCAGGCCTCACACAAGTCTGGCACGTGGGCCACTTGCACAGGGACAGCTCAGATCTGGCTGCCATTTGCCCTCCCCATTCCCTACTTCCAGTGCCTTTGCTCCCTTTTCCAACTGCTATGGAGTCTTAGCTGAGCTTGAAAAAGGCTCAAAAGAAAGTCCGGACCATGTCCAGGAGCAGGACTCATTGGATGACAACCATTCTCAGGCATGCCATAGTCCCTGGCCTGGGCTTGCCAGGTTTTCCTCTCTAGTCTTCTCATCAGCTTCCCTTTACCAAGGCCCACAGGACTAGAAAGCCCTCTCGTGGCTCTCTGTTGGTTTTGTTCCTCATTCATCACACACTTCATCCCATTTGCAGGTAAATGATTCTTACCACCAATCTTAGCCCATGTCATCCAGGTGAGGTGCACCCCAATTAAAGATCACATGACCCAGTTCAGCCAATTAGGACATTCCAGTCTCCTAGCCACAGTAATTCATCAGGGGATGAGTCTGTCATTCAAACTTGGACAAATTAATGCTGAGACTTTGACTGGAATTATTAGAAGAGCCTCTCCTCTTACCATGGCATTAAACTATTAAAGTAGAATCTAAACTTGAACATCATTGTAATGATTGTTCATATTACCTAAGATGAAGACAACAGAGAAGAAGTAAGAGGCAAGAGATGGAAAAAGACAGATTTCTAGTGGTATGGTTGCAACACCTACTTCTAGCCAGGCCTGAAGCCCAGTGAATCTTGACAGTTTCTTTATATAAACCAAAACTTTTTAAAAGCAACTCAGAGTTGGGTTGTGATCAAAAGTCCTAACTGACACACTCTTAATATTAGATCATCAAAAACACCATCGCTGACAAATCAACAGAAGCTTCCATCTCACATGGTCACATCCACACCTGGAAGAACTCTCTGGAATCTGAGACTGCCCTGCCAATCCCGACCACTTTGAAGACAAATCGCAATAGTTATTTAACCCATGTTTGTTACTTGCCTCTGTTTTGACACTTGACTGTGTGCAATTAACCCCCTCTATAAACCATTCTTTCAGAATCTCAAACTATCTTGTCCATGGCAGCTTCCCTCAAAGGATTTACCACCAAATCTCTGCAGCTCACTTGCCCAAAGATGCAAAACACAGGACACGGGCATGCTTCCTCTCTCCCTCTGTGCTCTGGAGGTAGATGGAGGCTTGTTCTGATGCAACAACTTCACAAATTTGCTCCTTCAACTAAACCACACACCCTTGG